GCTCTGAGAGAAACTGCTTTTTCAAGGACAGCTCTGAGAGAACTATGGCTTGCCCAAGGTCATCCAGTGGCTGCAAGTGGAGAAGTGGGGAATCAAACCCGATTCTCCCAGATTAGAGTCCGTGCACTTAACCACTACACCAAACTGGCTCTCATCAAAAGTTGTCGCGTGCTCAGAATCCACTTGGATTTCTACTTGTGACTCTGATTGGAAAAAAATTATCATCCTTCTGCAGAGACTCAGAAATGAGTCCCGTGCGGTGGGAACATCAGCTAACGTTTCTGGTTGGATGACATCGCCCTCATGCACGTATCTGTTGAGTCCGTTTCCCCCCACTGGCCCTGCCGCCGCCCAGGAGAATGAAGCCAGACACTGAGGCTCCGGAATAACTGTCCGATTAGAAACTTTCTGTCCATTCACTAATAATTCTGTTCAATGAAGATGGGTCGCCGTTTTAGTCTGTCTGCAGCAGTAGAAAAGAGTCCAGGAGCACCTTAAAGATTCAGTCAGTCAGGCAGGCATTTATTACAGCAACAAGCCATGGAACACACATGCTTAAATATAACATTCATAACATTCATATAACTGAATTTAGGACAGTGACATAAAACTCTATAAAAATACAGCTGAGCGTAATAAAGTAAAAGAAGAACATAAAACAGGCAACTATATTTGAGATTAAGTAAAGGTAAAGGTTTCCTTGCTCGAAAGCCAGTCGAATCCGACTCTAGGGTGGCGGTGCTCATCTCCGTTTCCAAGCCGAAGAGCCAGCGCTGTCCGAAGACGTTTCCGTGGTCATGTGGCCGGCATGACTAAACACCAAGGCGCACAGAACGCTGTTACCTTCCCACCGAAGTGGTCCCTATTTATCTACTTGCAATTTCTTGCTTTCGAACTGCTAGGTTGGCAGGAGCTGGAACTAGAGATATTTGAGATTAGGCAACTATTATTATATAGTTGATTGTGTATTTCGGACGCAGGAGCATCCTACCCAAAATTTTGCCACAGTTTTGGTAATTGTCCAGTTCCCATCAATTAACAATCGGTTACACTGCTCAGCACCGGATTGTCCCACCATATCTGTTATAAGAGGAGTAATATATTTGTCACGGATCTTGTTATACCAGTTACATCTGAGGATCATGGGCTCAATAGTTTCTATCTCTCCTGAGCCGCATCAACAAAGTCTATATTCAGTGGGGATCCTTTTGAATCTGCCCTCAAGCATCGCAGAGGGGAAAGCCTCACATCTGGCTAAAGACGAACAAAATTTGTGGCAGAGAGGCTCAGAGGATTAGACGCTGAGCTGCAGGACCGGAAGGTCTGTAGATCGGCAGTTCGAGAACCGAGTGCCACGTGACGCAGTGAGCTCCCGTCTCTGGCCCCAGCTCCTGTAAGCAGTTCAAAAGCAAGAAATTGCAAGTCGATAAATAAGTACTGCTTCGGTGGGAAGGTAACAGCGTTCCGTGTGCCACGGCATTTAGTCATGCCAGCCACATGACCGTGGAAACGTCTTCGGACAGTGATGGCTCTTTGGCTTGGAAACGGAGATGAGCACCGCCCCCTAGGGTCAGATTCGACTGGCTTTCAAGCAAGGAAAACCTTTACCTTTACTGGGAGCTTTCTTGAGTCACTGCTCACTTCTTCTTCAGGTATCTGAAGAACTGAGCAGTGACTCACGAAAGCTCCCGCCCTGCCACAAATTTTGTTAGTCTCTAAGGTGCCACTGGACTCTTTCCTAATCCTGTTTGAATTAAGTGCGTGAGCAATACTAAAGAATGGACCTGCTTGGGTTTGGATGCGTTCCCTGTCTTCCAAAAGCACATCCTTATGGACTGACGTGCATGCTGTTTTAGCGGCAGCCTTCGCTTTCGGAGACGAGCATAGGCGTAATCTTCGTGGGGGCGGCGGGGCGTGAGCCCCCGCCGAAATTTTCAGGAAGGTACTCAGCCTCCCCCGGGAGCCACCCTTGCTCCTAGCAAAGCAATGCCTCTTCCCGGCACCCTTTCCGCTCAACACGTCTCCCTCGACCCAAGGACTACGCTAGCTCAGCATCCTCCGATTTCAGTTCAGCTCAGTTCCCTTGAATTCACATTGCTCATCCATTCCCGGAGATGTTCCCCTGGCCTTGATTCAGCCGCCGCTGCCGCTTTAACTCTTCTCAGTCATGCCCCCACTCAGTCTCTCGGCAGGGGAAGGAAACAAAGCAACACAAAAGGGCCCAGTCGGCCACGGGAATCCTTCCAAGCGCTTCAACAGCTGGATGTGGCTTGCACCAGCTAGACGGTTGCTGGGTCTCTCCAGGACACTGGCCAGGGATGGAGGGGATAGGGCTGCCAGTTCCAGGTTGGGGAACTCCTGGAGATTTGGGGATGGAGCCTGGGGAGGACAGGGACCTCAGTGGGGCACAAGGCCACAGAGTCCACCCTCCAAAGCAGCCATTTTCTCCAGGGGAACTGATCTCTGTAGTCTGGAGACGGGCTGTAATTCCGGGGGATCTCCAGGTCCCTCCTGGAGGGTTGACATCTCTTCCCCCTGGCCTTGTACTATACTGAATGCTGGTGCACGACATTCTCCCCACAGCAGATCTTGGGAGGATGTATGTCGCTCTCTGCAAAGGGTAAAGCCGTTTAAAATCTTTGAATCAGAGGATCCTGGAGTGGGAGGTGTTGTGTTGCTAGGTACCCAAATTGGGGGTGTGTGTGGAGCAGCGTTTCAAACAGGAGGACAGCTCAGGAAGTCCGGCTCTTTCTCTACTTTACACAGAGAGCGATTCAAATGTGGACTTCGCTGCCAGAGGGTGCAGTGATGGCCACAGGCGTAGACAGCTTCAAAAGGTTTCACGGAGAGTTTCGTGGAGAATAAGTCTATCAAGGGCGACTGAGGGGAACCTCCACGTTCAGAGGCAGTCAACCTCTGAATCCCAGAGCCAGGAAGCAACGTCAGGGGGAGGCCTTGGCCTCTATACCCTGTCGTTGGACCTTCTAAATA